TGTGCAGCGATGTAAAAAGAAATATGATGCAACATTAGCAGATCTAAATTTAATATTGCAATAGATACTTTTAATTTCATTTTCATTTTATTCAGGACAGCCGTAACGAATTTAGTTTAATTGTGGAGGAAGATTTTTGTCCCAAGCCCCCGTTAATTTCTGACACCCTGGCCAGGGGAAGGCTAAGCCGTGCCCAGCCTTACACACATTCCACAATCACTGTCAGAATTAAAAAAGCAGACAAACAATCAAAGTCAAAGTAAATTATGGTAGAGATATCAAACACAATAGAGCTAGAGCCCACTATAATGCAGCCTAAAGCCTACTGACATAGCAAGATGCTCAACCTCTTTTTCTTTTCATTTCTAATCTTTTCTTTTCTTTTAATTCAAGTTCACAGCACAAACCTAGCATGCATTGTTCAAATAATTATCAGATATGGTGCAGAATTCATAGTTCTTCCAAAAAGCTTTTGTTTCATCTGTTCGTAGTGGCATGATGCACATGTACCATACCTTTCATTCTGAAACATGTTATGATATCAAGAAGTGATATTTTCAATTTGCCTTAGAATAAATGCTTTCTCATGAGTATTGTTATAGTGTTAGTTAATTAAATATAAGCTGAGTTACAGTTATTTTATATATACGAATAATGAGTTCTGTATTGTCTAATTAGATGCTGTTACGTCATTACACGGACTAGTTCGGCTCCGGTGCAGATGGTTGTAGTCAAACCCATCAGCACTGGGCAAGAGCATAAACCCCGCTGTTGTAAAGTTATGCTTTACTAAGTAAAGTTCCTGCAACGGACTATCTTTGTTGTGTGCTTCTCTTCACGCCTCCATGGACAGTGATAAACTAACCTTACAGACGAGAGCACAACAGTATCATTTAGTGTACAGCCTGGTATATGCTAAGTTCAGCGACAACAGAGATGTAAACACAATTGGCTAGTATAACTGCAAGATTAATGTGCAAGTTTTTCAGCAGCCTCAGTTAAATTATCAAATTAAAAATACTTAGCATTTATGCAGGAGGAGTTGTCACATTAAACGGACAGTGTGAAAGACAAAGCATCCTGTTTTCATTTACAGTGATTTAATAGCTACAAAGATGCAAATGGTGAAAGGCTGCCAATCAGCACAAAGCTCTCTTTCTTGAGAAACACGCACACACACTCAAAAGACAGAAGTACAGACAGCCTTTGTATAATTAAAGCCTTGCTGTGCCTTAATATGTGCTGAAATGCTGACGTTTTCTTTTTTGTGTGTCAGCAGAGCACGTATGAAAGGGCTACTGTCAAATATAGAATTCTGACAGAAATGAAATTCTCCTGAACTGACAGAGACAATAAGACTCATTAATGCAAAATGCATGCAGCTCTAGCAAGCAAAGTCTTCATTTCCATCCATTTGATCACATTTAGCAGAGAGAACATTCTTTTTTTTTTCTTTCATGACAGACTGAGAGAGGAGATAACAGATGTAACTCACATAAATGAGTACTTTCTATAGTTGTATGTGGGGTAATGGGTTAGAGTCACAACAAACCCAGAGGTGAAGTGTTAGACCTATTATACTGTACTAACACATACTGTATAAATTGGTATTCTTTAGCATTTAAAGTGGTCACCATGGATGTGATACAATAGCTATAAATATGAAGCAGCTGATAAGATAAAATAGTAATAAATAATTTCTTTACAATCTCAAGTATGTCAGGATAAGACACTGTGCCACATTCATGACAGAGTTTAATAACACAATAGAAGCCCTGATGCCAGAAATTCAGGTACAGAAAAAATAAAAATAAAAATACAAACAGTTGAGGCAAATAGAGTTGCAGGTCCATAATGCTATATTTTTTATCTCACCAAATCACAAAATACTTAGAATTTGCCATGAGAGTGTCAGGCAGGTTAAAGGAAGTTTTTGTGCAAGCACATACTAAGACCACTTACGTGTTTTACGTTATGTTGCTCACTAACTTCGTCCTTCTTGACTGTCAAGTATACATGCTGTACATACACACACACACAAGCACACACACAGACACACACAGAAAAGTTGGTGCTCATAAGGCCTAAATCAGGGTTCTTCAAATCTGGTCCTGAAGAGCCACTGCCCTGCAGAGTCACTTACTGTCTGTGATTTGCTAAGGATCCTGAAGACCTTGATGAGTTTGCTCAAGTGTGTTTGATTAGTGTTGGAGCTAAACTCTGCAGGACATTGGCCCTCCAGGACAAGATTTGAGGAACCCTGGCCTAAATAGATATGTAATTTATGAAATGACAGAGATAAATAGATCTATAATGCAAATTCCCGTGTGAATAGGACTTGTGAAACACAAATTTCTCTGATGACCCCCTGGAAAAATAGTTCCATCTGAATAGGGCTAACCCTATTCGCACGGGATTAGTATTATCTGGGGACCTTGTGTGATTTAGAAATTACCCATCCCACATCTGAATTTTGTGTGACTCATTCGCATGGGATAAGCAAAGCCTGTGATTTAACTCTAATTTACTGACTTATCACCCAGATATGACGTCAAGGCTTTGTTATCATAAACAGAAGAATGTTCCTTACCGCTTGCTGCTATACATGTCATCCATCTCCACCTAATCATGCTTTTTGTTTTCGTTCTTCTGATGGTTTTCAGCTTTCTCTTTCTGCAAATTTTATCGTTGTATGGTGTATAGGCGATATGACCCAGCACCCAAAATACTATCAAAACACTCCAACGCAGCCGGAATCAAAAACCTTGAAAAAAGTTTTATACAACCCCTCCAAATCCTGGCCAAATCACAGAGATGCCGATTCACACCGGACTAATATTATCACAGGACCTCAGTGTTCGGCGAAATATGGTAGGTCATTTGCGGGGGAATTTTTATGCTTCAAATTTCGGTAAACTCCGTGGTCCTCTGAGAAATCCAATCCCGTCCGAATGCAAATGTCTGTGATTGCTGATATTGTATTATCCAAATGCTTCTCCTCATGTGTTTCTTGGCCTACCTGAGCTACCATTCGCGCACAATTTTCTGCATGCTGCACCTTTCACTATGGATAGTATCTGACGAAAAAAAAAATAATAATACAATTAATAAGGAGAGCCAAATTGCGGAAAATGCTAAGACTGGCCATTTTAACATCAGCGTCAGATACGTCTGCTCACTTACGTGGTTTTATTATAAGCAGCCACTTCTATAAACTCATGTGAAGTTTGAGCATTTAAATAATGTTTTTATATTAAACTGAAATTATATCAATACATATTTAATTAGACATATGTCGTATGTGATGCACGCAACCACATCACATCTAGAAAACACACCCACTTCTGCAATAGTCTGAATTGGTACATGAAATCACAGACTTTGGGTGATAAAACATAGTTTAGAAAATTAGCCCCGTCAAAATAGGGCTTAAGCTGCAATGCCCCATTTCCTGCAAAATAAGCAAATTAGCTTTCACAATACTTAATTCACATGTATCTCCCCACTCAGGGGCAGTGTTTCCCTTTGGCAGTCACCATACCCTAGCCTCTGCACGCCACACCCAATACCCTAGGCGATCTTCCCCAAGGACGAACTTCTTATATACCCATCTCCAGTTGCATTATATATTATTTTAAGAGTACAGAGCAAAAATATTTATTTAGACATGTCCAAGCAAAACTAGCTTTTATTTGTGGAGTCATTTATTTGAGTTTAAATGAGATTGGAGTATCCACAAAGGAACAGATATTATGAAATACATAGAAAATCTAGTTTTTAGTCACAGTGCCCGTCTCTGATCCTACACAGCCTGCATATTTAGTTAAAACAAAGAGATTATTTTGATTCTAAACTAAAAGCTGAGCCACTGACACAAAAGAAAGGAAGACTTACATGAAACTTATGATTAAAAGCAGATTCAAAGGAAAGACACTCATTTTATTTGCCTTTAATGTGGATTTGCATTGGCTCTGATGGCCATTTCCTTAATAGTATCATTTTGATCTATGATACTTTTTTGGTGTCCAATCTGGCTTTTCTCTATTGCTGATTATATTTTCCAAATGCCAAGAGCACACAGATCAGACATTTAGCTCCACAAAATGTTTGCTAAATAAGCCATGGCATATATGTAATATTTGCTGTGTAATGCATAGATTGTATGCCTCCTCTGACCTTTAAACACTGTTATTAATTCTCCTTTCTGTTGGACTGCATCGTGTTGACCCAAACCACATGAGGTTCATATGAAACAGTGATAAAGACACAAGTATGAACAACAATATTACATGCACTTAACATGATCTAATCTCATATTATGGTTCAATGTGTTGCTAAGTCATTATTACTTATTATAAACTAACACTAGACCAGTCGATGTACATACATGAGAGGAATGCATGCATTAAAAAATATTCACAATTTTATCACTTTAATTTTATGATTGTAATGCATTGTGAAACCTGAATTTGACTGTATTATTTTGGAACAATTCATAATTATTTCCAAAATAATCTGAAGACGTTGTAACTAAAGAAACAATATGAAATATAGTCAAATATATACAAAATAATATACAATTAAAATAATAATAATACAATTGAAAATAAATTAATGTGCATTTATTATTGATCCAAATAAAATATAAATAATGTCATATCTAATTGTTAATTATCTGAAAAAAGTATGCATATGTGATAAGACATTTGTCAATAACTAAAATATATAAATATGGCAGTAACTCAAATACAAACGTTTACCCTACTATAGTTTACTTCCACATCCAAACTGGGAAATGTGAAATGCAGCAGCATGAATTTCTGCTTTTACAGTATGCATTTGTTTTCTCAATCATACGTGCTCTGTGTTTGTTGTGAAAGCACGCGTATATAATCCGTAATTATTAAATTCCTTAGTCAACGTTTTTTTTTTTTAATTACCGTAGTGATGCACAGTTGCATTTTGACACCCCTAGTAAACACACAACGGGCTACACATACCTGTCCAGGTGCTGCATTTTCACATAAGAGTGTCTCATACTCAATAGCAAACACTGGAGCGTTGTCGTTAATGTCCATGACTGTGATTAGAGCGATTCCTCTGCCAACCTGAGACGGGTCCTCTGACATACACAAAAAAGACAATTAACATGAGACATGAAGATTTACCACATAGAAAGTACTATTGATTGGTGGCTTAAGACGACTCAGTCATGGTGGTTTGTCTACTTAGAGCTGCTTTCCAATCTGATCTGTAATATGAATTTGGTAATGGAAGAGTGTTTGTGTGTGTGTGAGAGAGAGAGCACATATTTCTGTGGTGAGATCCTTTCTCCTTGTACTTGCTGATATTCTGCACGTGTGTCACCTCGGGTCGTTGCATTTGCATAAGCAAATGCAGAAAAATTGTGGATACATGCCTTAGTCAGCAAATCACCTCAGTCACAGCTATAGGTCTGACCCTGAGCTATAGGTCACAAGCAGTCCCTGAAGAACACATTAACATTCAACTGTTCTACTGTCCTGCTTCACCACAGACACTCAGAGACACGGCTGATCATAGTAAGGGCATGTTGAGCACAAAATATGAACCAGCAAAACAGATCTGCAGGATTTGGTCCAAGAAACATGTTGCAATTATTATTATTATTTTAATTTTTAATTTATTTATTTCAATTTAAATTGCAATGTGATAAAATATATGAAAAAAAACTTTACAATCAAACTGTCCTAAAGCTTCAACCAGCAAAACAGATCTGCAGGATTTGGTCCAAGAAACATGTTGCAATTATTATTATTATTTTAATTTTTAATTTATTTATTTCAATTTAAACTGCAATGTGATAAAATATATGAAAAAAAAACTTTACAATCAAACTGTCCTAAAGCTTCCTGTGCAATCTTGTAGCATTTTATAACAATAGTACAAAAATAATCATGCACGGATATCTGATTGATTGATTGATTGATTCATGTAATTAATTGCCAAATAATCATGATCCATCCAATATATGTCACGAATAGGGTTGGGAAATCGAAAATCGATTCCGATTCCAGAATTGGACACTTAAGGTCAGGAAACGGATACTTGTTGTCAAATTAAAATTTCGATTCTGCTTATCGATTCCGATGCGCTTTTTTTTTTCTTCATCTGTGAGGACCGGAGCTAGCGAGCTGCCAGGACCTTGCTCGCTAATCTAAGTGCTCCAAAGTTTGGCTACATTTGCGATCAGAAGCCAAAAAAGCTAAGTATAATATCTGTGATAGCTAAACATGTTGCAAGAGAGGTGTCACCACCGACATGACAAAGCACTTTAATTTAATAGTTCGTTAAAGATCACGAACACGATTCAAACACCAACGTGATTCTGTTCCTAAATTACAATGATTTGTCCGGGGCTGTTAAAATGTATTTGTCTTTGAATCATACAAGAGATTCGTTCAAGAACACTGATTCATCCAGTAATGAAACAAGTACATCTTGAGTGAGTCATTGAATCATTTATTCATAAATTTCATGTGATTTTGTTTAGTTGTCTAATGTTTTTACTTCAGAATCATGAGAGAACCACAACTTCCATTTGGGAAAAAAAGTAAAAAAAAAAAAACAGAATCATGCAGTTCTATTTTGCACACAAACAGCTCTTAAAGAGTCCAGTTTTTATGTAGCCTGTTGATTTTTGTTCATGGTATTCAGCTCCAATAAATGGTTTGCAAAAAAAGAGACACAGGACAAATGTTTGATATCATTGTTTAATCACATTGGAATCGAAACTAGGAATCGATAAGCAGAATCGGAATCGCAATCGGAATTGATCAAATTCAAACGATACCCAACCCTAGTCACGAAACACCAGGTGGCAATAGTTTAAATTTCATATAATTATTCACATCTAACAGAATGTCAAAGGTACTTCTCATTCTTTCTTATAGAGCCTGTTTGATTCAGTTAGATGTTAATTAATGCATTGACTATCAAATATGTACTGTCGTTGAGGTATCTATTATTCAATCCATTTAATCATCAACCCGTTTATTCAATTATTCAGTCCATTTGACTCCTGTCAAAGTTAGGGTTAGCTCCTTATTCAATCTTGATGAGTTCATGCCTTCACTAATCATTAATTCAGTATTAATTTAGGAATTAGAACATGATTATTTAGGTACCCTTATTATAAAGTGTTACCAGAAATGTTTGCCCATAGATGAACATTTTGTCATCAGTTACTCACCTTCATGTCATTCCAAACCTGTACAGCTTGCTTTCTTCTGCCCAGCATAACAGAAGATATTCGAAGCAACTTGTAGCTGTTTTGTCCATATTATGAAAGTCAATGAAATCCAACACTTTCAAGCTCCAAAAAGCACATAATGTTAGCGGGAATCTATATGAAGTGGTATATTGCACAAACTTCTGAAGCTACACTATTACTGAATAGATCGATGTTCAGCTTTTATTCACTTTGAAACCAAAACACTGATCAACACGTGTGCACAGATGACTTCAAATATGGCAATGCAAAACTCATTACTTTAAAGTTTCAACCAACCATTCACTAGCATATGACCAAACATCAACGTTTGAACTTCAGTGTCCCCAAATATTTCGGAGTCTCTATATTTTGATTTAAATTTGACTTCATTTGAGAGTGAATAAAAAATTAATGTTGATCTGTTCATCATGCAAAGTGATGCTGCCTCAGAAGACTTAGAATATATAAATCTAATTGCATGAAATTATATTATGCTAACTTGTACCTTCATGTCCTTTCGGAGCTTGAAAGTATTAGATTTTACTCATATTTACAATATAGACATTCTCCAACACGTGCGTGTGCGTGCGCGTGTGTGTGTGTCTGTGAGCGTCTGTGTGAGTGAGAGAGAGAGTGTCTGTGTGTGTGTGTGTGTGTGTGTGTGTGTGTGTGCGTGCACGCGTGCGTGCGTGTGTGCGTGTGTGTGTGCGTGTGTGTGTGTGTGTGTGAAGAAAAGCCATGAGTTTGGAATGACATGAGGAAAAGCAAATGAGGACAGAACTGAAAGAGAGAAAAGAATGAAAGAGTGTCACCTCTTCAAAACAGATGTTTAAGTAATTCATTTAAAGTTGTTTTTGTTTTGTTTTTTGACATAAGAATTATTTTTTTTCACATTTTAGAATATGGCTTTTGTTATACTCACGGTTCTCAGTGGCAAATATGGTGATGTTGTGGGCTGAATTGAGTTCTCTGTCGAGGGCTTTGGCTGTGCTGATGACACCGGTCAGAGCATCCACATTGAAGAAGCGTTCCAGGTCTGTGTTCCGGTCGATGGAGTACCTGGACACACCAGAGACACATCCTTCTGTAATAACAGGGAACATTAACTAATTCTTATTTGCTTGCCTCTTTTCTTATTTAGCATCAATGATTCTAGCATTCCAAAATAATTCATTGATTAACTGTAGCACGTCTACACGTACAAAAGGGCTAACGCTGCACTATAAAAAGAAAAGACACATTTAATTTTATTCTCCTCATAACCACTAGATGGCAACAAAACTCACCGCAGCACTTTGCTAAACATCCACTTTTCATTATGCAAATAGAAAAGTATTCTGCACTAAATTGATCTAATTCTTAATGTTTTTAAAATGTTATAGATATATATATATATATAGTAAACGGGAATCAGAAAGTATGGTACCTGGAGTAAAAAGCACCTCTACTTTTGAAGCTAAAGACACAAAAATTGACATGATAATAAATAGCTGACTGACTTTTCCATTTGTTGGTGTGGCATAGTTAAGTTCATATGGTTATTAGCATTTATTAAGTTGGTTAGGCTTAGACATAATCCCCATATCTATAACCATTATATTTAAAAAATATTAGGAGGTACAATCGTTCACAAAAATGACATAAAAAATTGTTCAGTAAGCACCTCGGTTTTGAAGTAACTGTTTGGAACATTTTTTATTTATATTTTATACATATTTTTTCCCCTGTATTTAAAATATAAATATTAATGAAAACATTTTAATGTATTTTAGAACAAAACAAAATATTTATTAATCAAAATAAACAGAAAAGAGTGCAAACTTTGCTGAGGTGATTGGTTAAGTAATTGTAGAGTGTGGGGTAAAACACGTATATGACTACTTTTAAACAAAACAAACCAACAAAACAATGTTCAATAAAACACACACACATATATTATATATTTCTGCAATATTTCACTATGGGAGTAGTAAAAAGCACATTGTGCTTTTAGCCCTATTGTACCCCATTCAGAGTATTTTTTTTCTTCATTATATAGGAAGTATTTAAATGAGTATTAAATGTACAGATATTAACTTCATATTTCATCATGAGGCAGAGAATCCACAAGGCACAAAAAGGTGATTCACAAGCAATTAAATAAGAGAGTAATTTAATTATTTTAACAAAAACAGCAGATTATCATTCACCGTCCAAGCCTCAATGCCTCACAGTAATTCTTCAATTATCAAATAATTGTAAAAGATCACAGAGATGGAGAGAAACAGTCTGCTTGTCAGAATGGATGTTATATTTGGGAATGTCAGGCTTCTGGTGGGAATGTTCATGACATTTATCATGTGCCGTTGGGCACGGATGAATGTCAGCGCAGGTGAGTCAACACTGTTCCTGAAAACCACACTAGCCTGGTTCCAACATGATTCAAGAAATAGAACTCTGTCGGTGGCAATAGCCTCCTTGGCCTGGGCTCATTATGGCTTCATTAGCCGCTTTTCCACTGTCGGGCCAGTGCGAGCCAGTGCTTTAAACGGGCCGGGCGGGGCTAATAGCCTCGGACCTGTAGCACCGAGGCCAAAATCACGCTGCGTTTCCACCGTCGGGCCAGAAGCACCGCTGCGCTTCACTAAAACCTGCCCTTTACATGCCTCTCAGGAACAACGTCACGACACAACCATTTCACCAACAAAGAGAAGTTATCAGAAAACTAATAAGAAATAAGTCACTGGAACTAGCGCGTTCACAAAACGAACATGATAAAAGCGACTGTTTGTTTGCATGCTTTGTTAAAGATTTAAATCCAAAAGCATCGATGTTTTACAATAATAAGTGATACATTGATAATAATGAATTAATTTATCAGGATTGAAAATTAGTCACAGAGAAATAAAGTGGTATGAACATAGCTACTTATTCAGTCTGTTTCTGTTTATTTGTAGTCACAGTATATAGCCTACATCACATTTAGAAAGAATGATCATTTCTATATTTTTATAAAAAGCTCCCGAACAAAAAACATTATTCTATTTAATGACATAGGCTACGTGGAGCTAAACTCTCGAGACGAGACTTATGACAGATAAAATATGTTACTAAATAAATACACGATTGTGATAGAGAATAAGAAGCTGACGTCTGATTTCTTCAAGCGATCGTATTTACCATGTTTACTATGGTAACGTTAATGGTTAGCATGCATAGTCTTTTGCATCACTTATAAATATTTCTGCCTTGTATGGTGATCATAATCCACATCGGATCACGTTATTTCAAACACTCGCTGCTGTCTGAAAGTGAGTTTTTAACTAAAATAATTTTAAAAGCCTTTAATTCTGGTGTTATAGCTGTTAACTTTATGAAATGATCCGTGGCGCTGATGCTATCCAGACGCGGAGAAACTCCGCCTTTGTTCATAGCCACTCCTCTAGCCCCAGCTGGCCCGCTTTGGCCCAAGATTTTCGTCGGGCCATAAAACCGGGCCTTTGGCCCCGAGTAAGCACTGACGAGGCACGATCAAGCCCCGGAAGTGACAGCGGAAATGCGACTCGCCCTGGCACGCACTAGCACACCCGCTTTTGGCCCGACAGTGGAAACGCGGCTATTCAGTACACCAGTATCATTACCTTCTTTGCTCTGGCTTATTTGTGGTGTGGTGTCTTCTCAAGCATTCTTTGTGTAGTCGTGTTAGTGTGTTACTGCTGCATGTCTGATCACCTGTATTCCTGTCCTGGACCCTGTGTTTTGTTCCTCTGCCTAGTGGTTTGAGTCTTCTATGGATTGAATTATTATGATATCTGCATGTTTGAATCTTCCCAAGTGAAAAATAAATATACTAAAATTTATTTGACATACATTAATTTCATGCCAAGTATACAACAAATACATTTACATATTTATGTGCTTAATAAAAATACCCCGCAATTGTACTTTTGTTATACTAAACTGGTATACGTAAAGTCTGCTAAATTGGAACAACAAATTTTGTATTTAATGTACTTGAATTGTGTGGAAATAGTGCTGAAGTCCAACTAAAGATATACAGAAGTATATTTGAGTGTGCTAAGGTGGAACTGTTGCAAGTATACTTTAGGTGCACTTTAAATATCTTGCATTTAAAGACCGATATTATTCAAATATCATACAATATTTGTCAATAAAACACATTTTAGGCTTAATATAAGAAATGTGCATTGTGCACTAGTAGTACTCCAAAAAAAGTTGAATCATAATTTTTTATTTCAGTAAGTCACGAGTGATATGTCAGTAAATATGTTAATAGATTTGAACTATACTTAGTATGAAACAAATGTATTTTAAATATATTACTTTTTTACTAGGGTTTGTCTGCCTTTGGCTACTCTTTGGATTACCTTTAATCAAGACTGCAATTGGATCTTTAGCCAAGTCTCAGAGCAGTGTTCGTAACTATATTATCATCTTATGGAAAATATGTTGTATCAATTTATCAATCAAATTTGGTCTGCATTTATAGAAAACAAAATGAATTGTTTAACCAAAAAATATAAGTTCACATTGAAGCTTCTCTTACAGCTTCTATTCATTCTAAATAACAAATATTTGTCATTGTCGAGACTCGAGTCCTAATGCTTTGACCAAAAACAAATTATTCAAGAGCAGCATCACTTCAGTCTGTCAGTGTCAGGGTCATGTGATGTTTTAGTTTTCATTGTGTTCACTTTCTGTTTACACATTTTCCTTTGACTTGGTTTTCCCATGTGTTTCATTGGTTCATATTCAGAACGTTCGGGGTTCAGACACATTCGCTCTGTTTAAATCTAGATTAAAGACACATCTTTTTAGCCAACCCTAGTGAAAAATAAATATACTTAATTGTATTTAAAGTATATTTATTTCATGATAAGTATACTAAAAATAGATTGACATGTCTACACATTCTAAATGTAGTTATTTCATGCTTTCATCAAGCACAAACTTAGTGCATTACAAATTCATTTGTAAAATACAATACTTTTTACAAATGCATTTGGGGAAGGATGAAATATATATATTCATCTTTAAGAAAGTACACTGTCTAGGTTCTTAATTCCATCTACAACATGTTTGAAACTTGTTAAAAGTTATTTTCACACATACATACCTATATAAACTGTACCAAACCTTTGAAAGAGGACTTCATAACCCCACTGACATGTCCATGCTCACTCAGCCCAACAACCAGTGTCGATAAGGAATGAATGAAGCAACTCATCTTATGATCCTGTAGCTGTATGAAAGCCATATAATGTAAGTCTGTGGGGATTGTTTGCATTGTATGATGTCATATCATTTAAGTAAACAAGGCCACTGTATGAGTTCTCAACTAAGACTATGACACAATCTGTATATTGATATTTGTTTGTTCCTTCACCCCTTAAAAGTGTCTTAAGTATTTTAATAATGTGATTTTAAAATCGGCCTAAATATAGGACCTGTTATGATTAAATGTACAATAAAATACACTGTATTTAAGTTGCACTTGTTGAGTATAGAAAATATTTTAGATTAAAAAAAATTTGAGTTGCAAACAATTATAATAATAATTCATAATGATGCAGTACTTTGTATAGTTATGAACTTTAACTTTTCAATAATTTAACCACAAATAGTGCTTTTCACAATTTTGCATTGTTGCAAAGCAGCTTTACATATATATGTGACCCTGGACAAAAAAAACAGTCTTAAGCAGCTCAGGTATATTTGCAGCAATAGCCAAAAATACATTGCATGGGTCAAAATTATAGATTTTTCTTTTATGCCAAAAATCATTAAGATATTAAGTAAAGATCACGTTCCATGAAGATATTTTGTAAATTTCCTACTGTGAATACCTCGGATTCTAGATTTTCAAATAGTTGTATCTCGGCCAAATATTACTCTATCCTAACAAATTCCTATTTATTCAGCTTTCAGATGATGTATAAATGTATTAAAAAATGTATGATGTATAAAATCATACACAAAATTATTATGCCTGGTTTTGTGGTCCCGGGTCACATATAGAAAGTAGTTACAAAAGTAAAGATATGTAAACTACATATAGCAGCACACCTCGCTTTTTTCAGACCGATGAGCTTTGTAAAAATCGACACGTTTCAAAAGGCGTTTCAAAAGGCGGGGCATAGAGGAGAAACAATAATGTACAGTATGTGGAAAATAATGTGTTTTTTTAACCTTAAACCGCATAAACACATTTCATTACACCAAATACACAAAATAATGTTCTTTTTAGCAGCATCATATGACCCCTTTAATGTCCCGTACGAACAACGACAACGTTGCACTTGGAAATGTGGACTTCTTTGGGCTGTCAAAATATTATGAATTATTAAATGAATTATTAAAATTATCCTGACCAGCCCTCAAAACTACACAAAAAGTTAAAATGTCAAAATAAATTCAGAGATGTTCACTATATGAAAAGTAACTAAATGTATTAAAATTATTTCAATTCATACGTCACATATAAATCCGCAGCTTACTGCGAGAAAGTCAAACCGCCAAAACATTTCATTGCATTTTACATTAACATTTGTGCAGTGCATTGAGAGTTGAAGCGTGCAGAGACAATGGGCAGAGATATTACGGATGGGTTTATTCCTTCCGCATACACTGAAACATAAGCAGTACATTCACATTCTTCCACCAACTAACGGAACTGTCTGTGTTTTAGTGCATGTACAAGAATAAAACTAATGTTATGCCGGTTTATGCAATTGTTTCCTGCAGAGTTAATGACAGATCATGTAAGGTAAAAGGGAAGCAAAACATTCTGCAGAGGATATTTAATGTTGTGTCCGCTGGCTTTATGTCTTTAACAGCTTCAGGTTTAATGCACTTTCGTGTTTTATACAGGCCGTTTCATGTTTATTTCCACGCACCGTTAATGCGCCTATATTAAGACTTTTCGGAGATTCAGTCTTTAAGTCCATGTAATTTGTGCTGTCATTGATGGAAAAAAAACCTGTTTACTTATAGTAGTATTTGTAACAGTATAGAAAGACTACAAAGTAACCGCAGTTTATCACAGCACATGTCTGCTTTGGTGGAGCATCTGGTAAAGCGAGTGCACATGTGAGGCAGCGACCAGGGTTTGAATCCAGTTCACAGTGTTTCCTACATTGTTCAAATGTCTGTGTCCAATGTTCCACTGATGCTCTCTGGATAATTGAGTTGACTGGTATGCTGGGCGTGTTAGTAAAAGGCAATTTCTTAAGCTGTGCCATTATTTATAAAGGTTAATTTATTGCATTAGAAGCACACAATAATTGTCCCATTAGCACACTTCAAGTTTACTTGGAATGCCATTGCAATGCATTTTAAAGTCACTAAAAGTAAGGGATAGTACCTCAGTTTGTTATTAGTATAATATTAATGTATGTTAACCACTCTTACAGTGTAATTGAATAGCAATTGTAATGTCATCAATGAATGAATTCTGCACTTCAAAAATTGTATAAAAGAGAGGATATTTAAAGTGTACTTAAATATACTTGGAATAGTTCCACTTTAGCACAAACAAGTATATTGAATAAAACTTTAGTTGAACTTCAGCACTGCTTTTGCACAACTAAAATGCATTTAGTATAAACTTATTTGTTCCAATTTAGCAGAATTTAAGTATACCAATGTATAGTGTGCCTCAAATATATTTAGTTATACTAAATTAGATACGAATAAATTGTTCTTAAGTATACAATTTTTTCACTAGGGAAGCATTCACATAATGTATCTCGTAACTTTGTACCTCAGCTATATCTGATCAAATGCACTTTTTCATTCTTTTGCTTGGGTTGAACACATCATCTTTGCTTGGTTGGAACAGCAGCTATGCT